AAGCACTGCTTAGCAACAACTAGAACATCGGTGTGTTATCAACATTGTTCTCATCCTAAATCCAAAACACAGCACTGTACCAGCTACTAGGAAGGAAATTAACTCTATCCCTGCCAAAACCAGGACACAAGCCCAGAGCATGTGACCCACTGGTAATGCTGGTGGAGCTCTTTGCCATCTTTGGATTGTAGATGCCAGTGGTGGTTGTTCAATGTTTATTTCCCGTTTATGTATTTGTTTTCAGCTACAGGACCTACAGCTGCTGTTTGGCTTGCTGTGGTTGTTAGCTGGCTGGCAGTCTTTGCTGTGGGATTCAGGTTTTGTCACTGTGCACAGAAACCAGTTTTGTTTTACTGCCGAATAATAAGCATGGTGGAAATGAAGGAAGAAAATGATAAATTTAAACTGTGCTTTTTCAGACCTTTAGATAGATGTCTACTAGAAATAACTGTCTATTACACTAATTACTTATGTTCACTTGTATCCTTAACATCAGTTATTTATTGCTAGCCGAAAGGTAAAGAGATTTCTTTATTTTCCAGTGTTGCTCTCCACCCTGGTAAACATTTCTTTGATTTGAAGGTTTCTTGTACAGTGTAAAGAGTGTAAACATGGCTTTTTCCTTCCTTCTCTACGGTTTCTCTCTGCAAATGTAATTTATCACCAGTTGAGTTGAACTGAGCCCAATACCATTTTTCTGTAATGATCCTGGAAGTAGCACACATGAGTCTGGTGGGAGAGGGGAGCAGAAGAGTGTTGGTGAAGGACTTCAGTGTTTCTGGCGCTCTTGTGGTATCATGTCAGTGACTCCTTTACTGCTTGTTTGCTGTTGTCTGCAGTACTTGAACAGCTTATCGGATAACATTGGGTAACTAACTTTTTTCTTCTTACTGCTCACAGTAGATTTTGCTTTAGATTAGAATAATAGTGCAGATAGTAATGCAATTTAACTATTTAAGGCACAAGCATAGTGTTAGGATGAAAACTCTGATCCAAGCTCATCTGTAGGTTTTTCTCCTGTACGAGTTTGTGAAGAGTATATATCACTTGCTCAGAAAAACTCGCTTTTCTGAACTATCAGAAACTGATAGCAGTGTTGCTCATTACAAATACTGAAAAATCATCAGGTAAGCCCTTAAAGATGTATATGTTAGAGACTTCCTTAAAAATCATGAGTCTTAAAATAAACAAACAAACAAAAGTCCCTTCCCCCTCTGCCCCCAACACTTACGGTTCATGTTCTAATTTCTTTTTCCATAAAGTTGTAATCACGAGAAGAACTGTTTACGTGAAAGTTAAACTTCTCATATGGTTGTCTGATTCTCAGAGGAATGGTATTTAGGAAAGCAGCAAACATCACGAGACTCACGATAAAGTCACGAGAGTTTTTCATACGTTACAGTTATGTATAAGTTTTGAATCAAATTTTTTAGAAAAATAAATGTATAGGCAGATGGTGATATTTACTTAAGGGAAGCTGAATTCATTATCTGACTAGAACTGGGTATTTCAAGCAGCTGTTTGAAAATGAGAACTCACTTTCCATGAAGGAGAACGTATGTTTGGGGAAAATGGAGCCTCTTTTCAAATGTAAGGCTATCCCTCATTTAGTCTATGTCAGAGGGGTTTCTGGTGTGTGTGTGTGTGAATTCATTTATGGAAGAACCTTATCAGTAATGGCCAAGAACTAATTTGGTGAAATAGTTTTACAAATTCTTAAAATAAAAAAAAAAAGCAACAAAAACCAGTCCTTCTTAAAAGTTTCAAAACTAGATAAAAGCTGTAGCTGCTCTTTTTTCTTAAGATATTCGACCAGAAAAAGGGTTAAACCAAATATTTAGAAAAAAAAAGCAACAAAAACCCGTCCTTCTTAAAAGTTTCAAAACTAGATAAAAGCTGTAGCTGCTCTTTTTTCTTAAGATATTCGACCAGAAAAAGGGTTAAACCAAATATTTAGTAATCTTATGCTGCCCTGCCAAATTTAATTTCTGACTACCTAACTTGCGTTTATTTTGATTTATTGAGATACAATTACTTCAGGAAATAGAGCTATAGAGAACATCCAGGCATAAGCCAGAAGAAAGGAAGCCAAATATGAACATACCCGTTGTCTTTTACAGATCTGTTTTTTGGGGACTCTGTATTCTAGAATGTCTGTTCTATTTGCATATATATTTTTGGAGCTTAAGAGTATGAAAAATAATCTTAGCTTGTTTGTTCTTTTTTTACACTTGTTTCTCTTATGTTCCTGTGGAAAGCTAGCCAAATAGTGTAATCCTAGCGTAAAGATGGAAGGCTATCCCTTGAAGACTGTGGTCTATTCATTGCTTATGTCCTTTCTTTCCCCGTGTCTTTAAGAAGACTTTCACGGGAAATTCTTTCACCCAGAAAACCTGTGGCCCTGGATATCTTGGTTCATAGAGAAATACAAACCAGTTTGTTGTCTGGAGCAGAAAAGCTAGCCAAATAGTGTAATCCTAGCGTAAAGATGGAAGGCTATCCCTTGAAGACTGTGGTCTATTCATTGCTTATGTCCTTTCTTTCCCCGTGTCTTTAAGAAGACTTTCACGGGAAATTCTTTCACCCAGAAAACCTGTGGCCCTGGATATCTTGGTTCATAGAGAAATACAAACCAGTTTTTTGTCTGGAGCAGATGCCTTTCCCCAGTCACTTAACTTCTAATGCTTCTGTTTTCCCATTCCGTAATAAGCAAATTGTAACGCTTAATTATTTTACTGGAATCTATGCTAATATCTGTGAAGCCCAACTATAGATTTTTAAGGGATTTTGCATCTCAGAATGGGTTTAGGCATTTGGAGTGACTGAAGGGATCGTGATTCTCAAAAGTCTTTGATTTTGGAATTATCTCTTTGAACGCTACAGAGTAATGCAGCTGTGTACACGTGAAGCACAAAGCCTGTTTGTAAACAGGGAAGATGTGTAAAGATGGCCCTTTGATAGGAAACGAGTTGGTCAGTTCAGACATCTTTCAGAATCTCATAACTTCATTCACCTTCCTGATATTTGGCAAGCCCCCCTGCCCAGTACAGTGGTGTAAGCTGTGAAAATAGCCATTCTGGGAACATATGGTAAAGGGGTTTTGTGCTCACCCCAAAATGCTACCATTGGTTCTGACTATGTCGAGCCTTTATTGTGAATCTTGTGCAATACTCATATGTGAACTTACTATGCTGTTTATATGTAATTATATGCCTTGTGGTCTGGCTGTGTGTTTTTTCAGTGGTTCAGTGGTTTGAAAGGTTAAACTCATTTTGTTGGGCATTAAGTAAGAATTAGAGATGATTGCATAGTGTGTGCCACATGCATCTGGTTGATGTGGAACGCCTTCCGTACCTTCTGCTAATGAGGGCAGATGACACAACAATAAGTTAATGCTTGGGGTTTTATTATAAGCAAGTCCCTGACTGCTGAAAGGCATTGTTAAATTTCTGAGTTTCTCATAAGTAGTATTTAGTTATTGCCTTGTATTTTAGCCGGATGAAAAATACTGTTTCAAAGAAGGCCTGATGGTTATTCAGCTGTAAAGAATAGCAGTATCTGGAACAGAGTTAAGGCTACGTCTAGAGTCATTAATATTGATGCAGTGATGCAGAAAACTGATAACTGAATAAGATATCCTAGCTGAAATTTGATCACAAGGGTATTTTCCCTCCTCTGAAGTAAAAATAGTGATTTATAATGGGAACTTTGTCATATTAATCAAGCAGACATTTGGATTTCACTTATCCCTGAGACACTAGTAATTCCTGCAGCAAGATTGCAGTTCCTAACTCAATTTTTAAACTTTTTTTTTCTTTCTCTAGATCATAAAAGAGTTTGCAATGGCAATGCTCTGGAAATTCATGAGAGTAGCTAAGTATTCTAAAACATCTTTATCACCAAAAGTAAGGGTAAGAGGAATTCCTGCCAATTCAAGGCATTCTTCATCCAAGTCTGTACCTTCGGATTTTGCTGCCAGCACACCCTGCTCAAATACTGTGGAACTGCTTGGTAAAGCTTATCCTCAAGACATCTACAGCAATGTCACAGAGAAGATTCTTTCCAAGGTGGGGAAGAACTTGCACAACAAAAAGCATCACCCTTTGTGGCTAATCAAGGAGCAGGTGAAGGACCACTTTTACAAACAATATATAGGACGCCATGGGACACCGCTCTTTTCTGTCTATGACGGTCTTTCTCCAGTGGTTACAGTACAGCAGAATTTTGATAGTTTGCTTATCCCACAAAACCATGCCAGCAGAAGGAAAGAGGATAACTATTACTTGAATCGTGATCACATGCTAAGAGCACATACATCAGCTCATCAGTGGGACTTGATACACTCTGGCCTAGATGCCTTTCTGGCAGTGGGAGATGTCTACCGCCGTGACACAATTGATAACTCCCACTACCCAGTCTTCCATCAGATGGAAGGAGTTCGGCTCTTCTCCTGTCATGAGGTAGGAATTCTCTAGTTGGGGTGAAAGATTTTGGGTAAGTTGCATGATCTTGTATTTGCTGTAAGCAAAGTGCATGCACATAAACATGATACAGCAACACGTGTTATGCTGTGCATTGATAAAGATCAAGTGATTGATCATGTAGTAATACTTTTAATTTGGGAAAAATATAGGTGGAAAATGTTGAATTTGAAAAAAAACTATAAACTTCCCCAGAAAAATGTGGAAAAAATGGAAATAGAGTATTCTTGAAAGCTAGCAAAATAAAACATTATCTGAAGGGAAACGGCTTGTTCAGCTAATGATCTGCACGATTCAATTCTAGTTCTATCGCAGGTCTCTTCCAGTGAGGTCACTTTACCAAAAACTTTGTCATATTAGTACTTGAAGGACTCATGGATGTGAGTTGTTGCAGCTATATCCAGAGTGCAGTTTTTATTCTGTCATCTTTTTTCTTTTAATAGCTTCAACGTTCTGTAAATGAATGTCTCTTTTTAATGAATTCTTCCAGTCTTCATCTCATCCTAAAGCTGCATTGCAGGATTCATCTGTTGCAGCTGATAGTTACGGGTGTGTGATACATATACAGTAAACTCTGAGTCCAGAGGCATTAGCTGAAGAGCTCTAGGTAGATGTCCAAGACTCTTGAGTTTATATATTTTGTTGGCACAGCTTGCATATTCTGCAAATGCTTGGGTGTCATTAAGTATTCTGCTGTATCACTGATCAGTGGTAAATATAAGCCAGTTTGTTTTCCAACTAGTAATTGATTTGTATAATTTGTGTATGCTTGTAGCAATACTGCCAAATTCACATTTCTGTAACTAAAACTAGCTTATTCTAATAACACTGAGATGTAGACCGTTCTTAATGTGGTTGCCAATGGGTGACAGGAGCTTGGCAGGGAAGCCTGATGGGTTTGGATGCCTGAGGGAAAACTAGGGTTATCATAGAGCACTGCTTTTCTCACTGGTGGAAAGGGTTCGTGCTGCCTGCACTGGTGTTTCCCACCCCATGCTGTCAGTGCTTCTTCCACTTTGAAAACATACCTGCCTCTGCAGATACCCTGTGAGCTATGTGGCGTCGAACACAGCTTTGGTAACTAGGAAATGAAATCTTGCAGATTTATCCACTCTTGTCTGTTTGCTGTTCTTTTCCCATAGGCCTGTTTATGAATACAATCAGGGTATATGCAAGAGAAAAATGTACAATACTACATTAAGAAAATGCCATTTCTTAATGGTTTATGTTCATGACAATTTTTTTTACTTGAGCAGCAGTTCAGGCATTCGGATGGAAAGATTTTATCTGCTACAAAATTGTAACATCGACACTCTTGCAGGATGGAATTTCTGCAAACTTAGGTGTGATTGATCTAATTATTGAAATTATTGTTAATGAATATGACCCTTAAGAAATTTTGGTCCTAATGACAGACTATTTCTTTCTTCTCTACAAAGTTAGTAATAGGAATAATAGTAATAATAGGATTTTCCTAACTGGGAAGAAAGTTACAGAAATGTTCACTGACATCTTCTATCTAGAAATACACTATGTGTAACAATCTGATTCGTTGCATTGTAGATTGCTTGTTTCTTTTTCTCTTCTTTCTTTTTCCCCAAGAAAAATGATTGAGATGTTACTGGAGAATGTTAATAGCTGATGAATTTGAAGTTAGCTATGTGCTGGAAAATGTGTCTGTCTCTTGAAAGATGAAAGTCCGGTTGACTTTCTGTACTGATGAAGAAAGAATAGTGGTATGGTATACAAGGTGTAAAGTCTTGTTTATTGGGCAACACACGTAAATTCTAAACCTGAGCATGATCTAAAGCATCCGTTTTTGCTTCAGTTGCAGATTAAATACTGACAGAGTCTTGCAATATGTAAAACTTCTTCCAGTCATCATCACAAGAGCCTTGTGGAAAAAATTGAATGTGTAATTCTGAAATTTCACTGGGGACTGTTTCTCTGTTTTATTCTCTGGTTGCCTGTTCAAAATAACCCGAATTTAAATAATTCCAGAAGGAACTGTCTGAGTGGAACAAAGACTATATGGAAGTAATACTACATGAGAGACATATTTTTAAAATATTTTTAAAATTCATTTATTTATACCCATGTTTAAGTTGTAACCCACTGAGCAGAAATGTGTGAATGTCAGGGCCTGTTACCTTCATCTCAGACTTTTCATTCATAACCAGACTGCAATCTCTGGCGAGAGGAAATTTGTACAGTACTGAGGATAAGAATCTTTGGAACTAAGGGGAAAAACTGTTAGCTCTTAGCTACAAGCCCTGGGTACATTTTATCTTATGGCCAATACAATAATTTTATATGCTGTAGTCAGTTTACTGCTCTACTTTGTTCTTTTGATTTATACATTTATCATTTGTCATCTTCTCAGTGAAAATGACCACAGAACTGGGGGGGTGAGAACAAAACCCAAAACATAGTGGTTTTATAGGAACTTGAATTTAGAGGAATTTGACATCTCATTTCAGTTTGGGAGGGAGAAAAAAGGTCAGTTCATCCTCAGCTGAAATTTTAGGCAGGATAAGAAAGATGTAGAAGATGTAGAAAAGTGTCTCTCCTTTACAAATACCAAATTCTGTAGTCAAGGCTAGGTTAAAACTTCTGCCCTGTGACTGAAACCCTTAGTATAATTCTTCTTCATATCAAAGTTAAAATCAATACACTGGAAGTAAGAGCTGGAAAAATAAATCATAGTTTGGCAATTTTACGTTGTTTTACTCTGAGATACTCGTGAGCTATTTGCTTCTTTGGCTATACTATTTTTCATGATGGTTGGTTGATTACTTTTGTAAGAGAAAAGTAATCTATGATTCGAAGATGGGCAGGTAACTAATGCTTTTCTGCAGCTTTGTATGAGTGCAGATATTAAAGTACTAAAGAAATCCCCATCTTCCAAACTAACTCATTGCTAAAAGTTAGAATAATTCATGCTGAAATTTCCCATAAACTTTTTGAAAATGTCCTTGGACTGCTAGCAAAGAACATTTGAATATCTATTTAAACATGTTTTCAGTATATTTAAAAATATTTTAGGTAATTATTACCTGAATGTAATATATAGAAGAGTTAGAAACTAACTAATAGAAATAGTTAAAACCAGTGCCAAAATAGCTTCCCAAATCTGCTTCAAAGTTCTGGACATACAATGAACTGTTCTTCTTAAATAATACCTCCAAATGGAATTTCTTTTGTATTCTCTCCCTTCAGCATGCCTATTTTCCTTCCATATATATTTTTTTTTTTCCCCCCTTCTATGGTATATGGCTTTTTTCTTTTTTTAATCCTTTGGGTTGGCAATATTGATACTGCTGTAGTCAGGTTTGAACTGGCAAACTTTCCTGGGTGGATTATAAAAGAAATTATTTCTGTGCTATGCTGTGGTCTTTGGTGCAGTTCTTTACTTACAACAATTTACGGAAAAGAGAAAAAAAAAAAATCTTAACTAAATTACACTTTGTGCATTTTAGCCTGCAGAGGGAGCCAATATAAACCCAATGGCAATCGCAGAACATTTTTCAGTTGACAACAACTAATGTTTACACATTAGAAGGAGACTTCATAAGGTATTTTATAGTCTGTACTGAATTACACGTAAAATTTAAGAGGAACAGATGGAAAACATAGGAATTGCTCCTCTAATTTAGTAACCTTGTTCCAATGGAGGCCAATACCAGATTGTTCAGATGGAGAAATGATGCTCTCATCAGGCTCGTTTGTGCTAACATTTGAAAACTAGAAAAAGGGAGACTGTGAAGAAATAGTAGGGGTACATCTTTATTCTTCATTGAAATGTTTTTGGTGGAAATGGCAACTTTTTTGTTAGGACACAATGGAAAACTGTAAATATTCCAGTTAAAAATAAGGGCTGCTCCTCCAAAGCAGTACATATAATTGCAAAAAAAATTTGCATATTGTAACTTCATAGTGTTTATATCCTGAAACGTAAAGACTCTCGTCCCAGGTAATAGAAATGTAGATTTTCTCTTATTCATATAAATACATACTCCTTTCCTCGTCTTTTCATACTTGTGTACCTTGGCCATATTCTTTGTGTATTGTTTTTAAAAA